GCAGAGAGTGTCTAGAGGTAGGAGCTGGTAGAAATCAGACAGAGAGAGAGAGAGAGAGAGAGAGAGAGAAGCAGACAGAGACAGAGCAGGAGGAGGAGGGTTTAACTGAAACCTTCTATATTCTTAGGCACAGAAAATCAGGACTGTTTACAGACAGCATCCAAAGCAACTTTTTCAGAGGTAAAGAAGAGTTAACAAAGCCACGGTGGCCAACTGCTTATCTTTACCCAATATCAACACTTGGAGCATACAGGATTTTTAAGTCATTGACTAGTTTTCCATCATCTCTTCATTTCCTGATATTTGCTACAACAGGTTGGACATTTTATGTACAGGACAGAGCTGTTATTTTTCCCAGCAGCTCTCTTGTGAGTCCTGGCACAGCTGATAACGATGATGATAATAATGGTGTCTCTGTGTGTGTGTGTGTGTGTGTGTGTGTGTGTGTTGTATATGTATGTCTCTGGGTGTGTGTGTCCTTGGCTGTGTCTATGTGTTTGGGTCTGTGTGTGAGTCTGTATATATGTGTGGAACGGTGTGTGTGTCTCTGTGTATGTGTGTATTGCAGGTGGTTGAGTCAATGTGTATGTGTGAGTCTTTGTGTCATTCTGTCTCTGTCTCTGTCTCTCTCTCTCTCTCTCTCTTTCTCCCTTTTGCAGGATTCATGGAATAACTGGAAGGCCAACCCTAGGACATTACTAAAGTGATGCTTTTTGTAGTGTCTCTTTCCCACAAAGGGAAAGAGAGAGAGAGAGACAGAGACAGAGAGAGAGAGAGAGAGACAGAGAGAGAGACAGAGAGTTTGTGTGTGTGTGTGTGTGTGTGTGTGTGTGTGTGTGTTTGTGTGTGTGTGTGTGTGTGTGTGTATGTTAACAACAGGATTCAGTTGGGTTCACAAGGGAAGAACTCTTCACGCCTGCAGGAAGGCTTATGTCTGGTACTTCCACTAGGCCTGAATGCATCATTGAACTCCCACTGCACACATCACTGTGAGGTTTCCATGGCATTTCTGCCAATGAATTGGACATTGGCAAAGAGGATTTTAGATTTTGAGTAACTCTGTTGTTGTTGGAAAACTTAATTGTTGAATGTTTGTACATAGCCTGGTTAACACAAACAAAAAAAAATATGAAGTAGTGAACCAACCTCACTTCAGGTATGAAAGTGTTTCTTTCCCTGGAGTAAGGTTCCTTGTGTTCATTTATGTCAATCACTCTCTGATCTCTGCTCCTGGAAACCACATGACTGCTTTCTAATGGAATTGTTTGGAAATGGTCTATGATTTAGAAACATCAGGGCCCTGGCTAGTCTATCATGGAAAAGAAATCATTGGTGAAACATTCTGTTACTAATAGATTAATTAATAATCTTGGAGATGGAGATTCAGGGGCCATCTTTGACTAAGGGCATCAGTCATACATGAATATATATTTATCCACAACCAAGCTGATGGGCTTTTGAGTGGTTTCCATGGTTTTGTTCCTGTTGTTATTGCTGTTAAGCTCTTACCAACTTTTTATAACATGATATTTTCTTTGCTGTTGTTGTTTATTTGATGTTTTTTACAATCAGTAATTTTGTTTCCTTGTGCTAAAGCCCTGAAAGCAGAATTTATCAATCACAGGACAAGGGTGTACTTAATTTTGAGGAAAAATGCCACCCTGTCATTCAAAGAAACCACAAAATTTTGAATCTCCTCCAACCGTGTATGGGGGTGCTTCATGCCTGTGCCAACAATGGATATACTAAATGGGTATAGAGGGGTGTCTCAATGCACGTGTTTCCATGAATGTTCATCCTATACTTTTAGACCTCGGTTTTAATATCTCTCTGTCTGTCTGATTGTCTGTTGGTTAGACTGTGTCCCTGACTCCCTCAACAGAAGAGAACCTGTGCTTTCTCCAGTCCACATTTTTGCCATGTCTCTAGTTTCTGAATGATTTCCTCCAGCTGAGCTACAAAAGAGTCTGGAGTTAGGAAAAAGCACCAGAATGTTTAGGAAACATAAAGGTATTGGTTCCCTGACCCAGAGATTGTAGGAGTTGGAGATCTTTCAGTCCCCACAGCTTAAAAGTTCCTTGGATCCAAATACTAAAAATAAAATGTCTACCAGGAAGGGCTGGGACCACAGATTGGACAAGCATGTGTTGGAGAGACAACACTGTATCAAGGAGACATGAAAAAGCAGGAATGTAAAGGAAATCCTGCAGTGCTGGCCTATGGGATCATATATCATCTGGGAATGAAACCATAGCACCAAATCCAACCTTACATACAAAGGACTGCCTTACATTGATCTACACATTGGACATTCTTTGATATAGCTTGCTAAGACTTTTGATCAGAAACTTCTATTCTGGATATGCAAACTGAACCCCATGGAAGTCACCTGACAGAGAAGGGAGGTTGGCAAGGGGCTTAGCTGGTTAGGGAGTTTGTTGCCAAGCATAACAACCTCAGTTTGAACCGTAAACCCAGATGGTGGAAAGAGAAGTAATTCTTACAAATTGTCTTCTGACCTCTCAATGTACCTGATTGAACATACATGTACACAATGCATAAGAAAATGATAGAAAACTTTAAAATGTTTGTCAATGGACAAATGACTGTGAAGTTGATCTAAACAGGATCTGGGCTGTGAGTAACCACATTATACAGATGGAGGAGAAGTGTTAGAACTTCAGTGTCTTTCAATGAAGCCACCATGACCTAACAGGGGATGTGTATCTGTGATCCTAAGGTCAACATAAGCAACATGGGCCTCCAGGGAGGACTCACTACTCTATGAGTGTTGTGAGCACAGAGGAGTCTTGAGGGTGAAAGGTACACTCAAACTCCTGCCCTTGTTCTTCTCTTTAAGTTGGTATGACTAATGTATATCTTTTGATAGGAGCCCCATGGCTTCTCCTGATACCGCTTTCTGTTCCCTAGTCTTCACACCAACATCCATATTGGGTTGGTGAGTAAAAGACTCACGGAACATAATGACTCCATATTGGAGATCAGAGATCCTGACATACGAAAAGGACTTCAGATGCCATGCTGTGTCTGTCCAGAAGGAGAGGGAAGGAACAGAAAGTGTAGAAGTGGCTTTGCCCTGCCTGCTGGCTATTGGCTTCCTGTGGCTTCTGCCTTATCAGTTCTTCTGCAATAAGAACTTTGCCCCATCCAATCAAATGTCCACACAAACACCGATAAAGGTACAAATTCCTGCCTGAGCCAGGCAGATCTGTTCTGTTTCCTGCTGTGAAACTCTCATCTTACAGCAGCACAGGTTTAAGCCTGAGATTCAACCATGTCATTCGCTAAACTTCCTGATTGGCTGTATGTTGTACCCTATGGGCTCCTTCTTCTCCTCCAGCCTGTGCATGGTGAGACTATCTTAGTGAGCAAAAGGGACCTGGGTCACACCTGCCCCAGTTCTGTAGAATCAGAGGATGAGCTTGTGGGATGGAAGGCAATAGGGAGGGAAAAGAAGCTGGTGGAGAATGACAGGTGACAGCATAGGGATAGTGTGCTTGCTAGTATCCCACCAGGGTACAGAAGGGTGATAAATATCTGACATTACCACATACTGAAGAGGCAACAGAGACAGAAGAACAAGCAAGACAGGTCCCTCCTCTGTGTGTGGTTGTACCTAGAAATGCTACTGAACATGGATAATGACAATAATTCCTTCATAATGCCAAGTGGCTCTGAGCCTGTCACTTTGTTGAATACGGAAGAGCCCTGTCAGTTTGGAAGAAGGTCAGTGGACAAGGTATCTGTCCCTCGGTGATCCAGAAGCCCTCATTCCCACATCCTACTGCAGAACTGAGACAACCCAGCTTACCTCCCCCATGGATCATGGCAATGACAAGGTAGAAATTCCCAAATGTGGTGACAGCTGATGACATCTCTCTACTTACAGGCCAGGATTCAGACAGCCCCATCAGGAACACACACACCGGCCAGGTGAGAGGCAGATTTGTCCATGTGAAGGACACTAAAGCTGGTGTCCACACCTTCCTGGGAATTCCCTTTGCCAAGCCTCCTGTAGGACCACTGCGCTTTGCACCTCCTGGGGACCCTGAGCCATGGAATGGTGTAAGGGACGGAACCTCAGAACCTGCCATGTAAGTTCTGGGACCTAGGGGACTTTAAGCCTGTGCTCTAGGCCACAGTGAAGTGCTTCCTCCACCTCAGCTCTATAGCAGTTTTCTGCCTGTGCTGAGGGGCATCTCCAATGCATGTTTCTGACAAATGTGCTAAGGATTACAGTAGAAAAACGCTCCTTGCCTGCTAATTCAGAGTTTGGCACTTTGTGTTATTTCTATTGCTGTGATAACATATCTTTAGATAGTAAATTAGTGAAGACAGATTTTATTATGGCTGTCAGTTCAAGCATATAATCAACCATAGGTGGGAAATCACAGAGGCACAAGTTTAAGAAAGCTCATTGCAACACATCCATAATGAGTAACAGAGTTTAAAGTCACAGGCATGCCTAGTAACTTTCACTTACCTTCTCCATTCTTATACAATCCAGTAGCCCTTACTAGAGTATGGTGCCACCTACCATGGGCAAGTATTCCTATTGGAAAGAATATTATCAAGATAAATTCTACTGACATTCGGATCTCCCAACAGGATCAAAAAAAAAAAAATCTCTTAGAAAGATTCCTTTCCCAGATGATTCTACAGTGTGTCAAGTCAACAATCAAATCTAACCACCATGCCAGAATTTAAATTTTATATATAGAAGGATTGAATATTGGAACAGAAAGCATATCAATTTTCAGTAAATCTGTCATAAGTCTCCATAAAGTAGTCCCCCAGAATATAACTATGTATGGTACGACCTCCATGAAAAACTTTGTCTCTATTTGTACAGGACTGGTGGCCTTTACTGTGGTAGGGACTTTAGAGAAGACTCATGTCAGCAAGCCATCATGGAAAGCAGCAGCTGTGGGTTCCTAAGAGAAAATTCAGACTAAGATACAGATTTGACCACCACATACCTTGAAATTCCTGTCTTCCATTTTCACTAGGTGTCTGCAGACTGATATGATGAATTTAGAGATTAGGAAGGAGATGAAGCTGAACATACCTCTCATCTCTATGTCTGAGGACTGCCTGTATCTCAACATCTACACACCAGCTCATGCCCATGAGGGCTCCAACCTGCCTGTGAGTGCCAGGCTATGGCCACGGGGAACAGGTCATTTATTCTGTGGAGGACGGGAAGGAACAAAATAATTCTGAGCTCCACTGTAGTTTAGATCCTGATTAGTAGTCTAACCTTACTGAGTTCAAGAAGGTCATGTCAGCCCATGGTGAGCTGCTTAAAGGAGTGTGTGAGTGTGTGTGTGTGTGTGTGTGTGTGTGTGTGTGTGTGTGTGTGTGTATGTCTCACAGTCCCGGGCACTTCTATCAATTTGGCACACCAGCTGAATATTGACATCACCCAAATTTCTGGCACCAAGTCATCTGTTCAGCCAGTTAGATATGATGCCGATTCTGATTAGCAATCAGGAAAGTCACTTAGGAAGACCCTCCAGTCTTTCTTCTACTTACATAGTCTGAGAATAACAATGACTTTAATTTAGACCTGGAGTCTAATCCATGCTAAGATTTTTAGAGTTGGGGAAGCAGGAATGGAAACATGCTCACAGGCCTAAAGCACCTCATCTGTGGTTCACTTTCTGACATCCTGAGATCTGTTTGTAGGTCGACCTGCACAGAAAAAAATAAAGCAGTTAATAACCTAGTGGGAAGTCTAGATGAGCTAGGGATGTGTGTGGGCCTTCTGGCATCTGAGTTGCTGTCTCCAGGTGATGGTGTGGATCCACGGTGGTGGACTGGTTCTAGGTTGGGCTTCCATCAATGATGGATCCACACTGGCAGCTACTGAGGAAGTAGTAGTTGTCTCCATCCAGTATCGCTTGGGTATCCTTGGCTTCTTCAGGTAAGCCTGGGACTGCGCTGGGTAATGGGGACTAAGTAGTACATGGGCAGCCATGCAATTCTTCCTGCTTCTTCTCAGCACTGGAGACCAGCATGCCAGAGGCAACTGGGGATACCTGGACCAAGTGGCTGCCCTACGCTGGGTGCAGAAAAATATCGCTTACTTTGGAGGCAACCCTGACAGGGTCACTATATTTGGTGCTTCAGCAGGAGGCACAAGTGTGTCTTCCCATGTTGTGTCCCCAATGTCCCAAGGACTCTTCCATGGAGCCATTATGCAGAGTGGAGTGGCCCTGCTGCCTGACCTTATTTCTGACACTTCTGAGGGGGTCTACAAGGTAAGTGCCCTCAAGAACAACAGCCCCTAGAATACTATCTCAGTCATTGCCTCTGGAGATCTGGTGTTCAGTTAAGTGAATTTTCTGTATGCTGAGAATGTTGTATGATAGCAAACCTCTATCTGTCCTTACCAAAAACACTTATGCTTGGTTTCTCAGTTGGTTTCTTATCCTTGTGATAAAGATGATTACCAAAAGCTCCTATGGGAGGAAAAGGTTTATTTCTGCTCACACCTTATGACCAATCTTGAGGAAACTATGCACTCAGGCATGTACATTGAGGCCAGAACTTAATCATAGGCAAAGGAGCAACATGCTTACTGGCTTGTTACCTGTGGATTCCTCAGTTTGCCCTCTTATACAACCCGGAAAACCTCCCATGGTTGGCATTGCCTACAGATAGGTGGGCTCTTCTGCATCAGTCATTTCTCAGAAAAATGCCCAGAGTGCCTTTGAAACAATCTGATAGGGGCAATTTTTATAGCTGAAATTCCTCTTTCCAGATGATCATGGATTGTGTTGAATTGACAAAAAGAAATCTAACAAGAACACATGCATTGATGGAAAGGGCAAGCTGGTAAAAATATTTGCTGTGTACGTGTGAGGTTCCAAGTTTAAATCCTCTGAAAGTATACAAAGCTGATGGTGTCAATAAGTGTCAGAGACCCCAATGTTCCTATGGCAGTATAGAAAATAAAGACAGAAGACTCCCAGGAAGGTCATAGGCCAGCTAAGCTGATGTACACAAACGCAAACAAGGGATATCATGATATATAAAAGCTGAGACTGTGCACTGACCTTCATAGGCAAAATGTGCTACACCATACCTATTGTCACTTGTAACACAAACACAGACACTCAAACACACACACACACACACACACAGACAACAAAGTAACAAAAAATCAATATGTAGGTTGAATGTTCTTCCCAGCTGTCATCTCTGAGCAACAGAAAATGTGAAAACTTTCTCTTCCTCCATTCATACACAACAAACACTAGGATGTGGCATTTCGGGTAATAACTTCTAGTAGAATCACAGAAACTCTGCTCCCTGCTAGGAGGGATGATCTAACCATTACATGTTCCATTTACAGACAGTAGCCAACATATCTGGATGTGAGGCTGCAGACTCAGAAGCCCTGATACACTGCCTGCGAGCAAAGAGTAAAGAAGAGATCCTGGCTATTAACCAGGTTGGGAGAATTGTGTGTCTTGGAGGACCTGATGAAGAGAATGTAGAATTGCCATTACTTACTACTCAAATGTGCTAACTCATCTCCATGGTTTGGTGTCCTTTCAGTACAGTGTGCAAAAAGAATAAGGCAAACTAATTATCATGTCAAGCTTCTTCAAGAAACACTGGGATGAGATAGGATATAGAGAATTGCTGTGGATAGACATGGGCATTAGAATATTTATATGATTGATCTTCAGCACTGACCATCAATGCTGTGTAGGTCTTCAAATTGATCCCTGGTGTGGTGGATGGGAAGTTCTTACCAAAGCATCCTCAGGAGCTCTTGGCCTCTAAGGATTTTCACCCTGTCCCCAGCATCATTGGTATCACCTCAGATGAATGTGGCTGGGGAGTCCCCAAGGTGAGAACTAGTTCTAAGCCCCTGAGAACATAAACTCAGATGGTGAGTCCTCAGAACTCAGAGATGCCTTGATGTAGTTCCAAGCCATCCAATACTTAAGACTATCCTCTAACTCTCAGATGATGGCCCTTGAACATATCATAGAGAAGATAACCAGAGAGACCCTGCCAGCTGTTCTGAAGAGCACTGAAGCAAAGATGGTGAGAGAGACCTTGGCTCCTGTCCTGATAGAGAAGGTTTCTGTATGTTTTTCCCAGATAACATGACCAAAAGTAAAATGTGTGTGAGTGTGTGTGTGTGTGTGTGTGTGTGTGTGTGTGTGTGTGTGTGTGTGTATTTCTCTGGGGAATCAATGAAAAGCTTCTACTTTTCCCCCTACACCCTGTTTTATTGCTGGCCACATTAATTACTTAGATGCTACTCCCTGCCTGTCATCATTCTTCCTGATTCCTCCTGGTGTAGATGCTGCCTCCGGAATGTAGTGACCTGTTAATGGAAGAGTACATGGGGAACACTGAGGACCCAGTGATTCTCCAAGCACAGTTCAGAGAGATGCTGGGAGACTTCATGTTTGCGATCCCTGCTCTCCAAGTGGCACATTTCCAGCGTGAGTACATCTGGGACTAGAGCAAGGGCAGGGAGTGTGCAGATCCATGGGACCCAGGTGAGCTCTGCAGTGTCCAGTCCTATGTCTTTCTTAGCTCTCTTATGGCAGGCAGCTTTCTCTCACTAAATCTTTAGATCTAGTGTAAAGTATGGCATCCTGTCCAGGGCTAGAATAGGAAACATGTTACTTTCCCTCAGTGTCTTATCATCTACTCAGCTGGGAATGCCAGGGTCTCTGGTTAAAAAGGTTTGCCCTGTCCAATGATCCAGTCTGGATTTCACCACTCAACTGTCATTTCAGATTACTGTAGAACAAGGTTTCTTGTCACCAAAGTTTGGGCAGATAAGTTCCATAAGAGAAATCATGTCACCATGTGTCTTCCCTTCCAGGTTCCCACGCTCCTGTGTACTTCTATGAGTTCCAGCATCTGCCCAGCTTCATCAAGTATGCCAGGCCATCCCATGTGAAGGCGGACCATGGTGATGACATTGTGTTTATCTTTGGCTCCTATTTGTGTGGCATGAATGGTGAGTATTTCATGTTTTCCTCGAGCTAAATTGAGCATGAGATGAATCCTCAGGGATTATTGAGCTCTCTGTCCAATTGGGGAAATTCAGAGTCTGGAAGGGGACAGAAGTGTTCCACAATCCAAGTTTTACAAAAACCACCAGGTGCCTCCCCTTAAAATATCCTACAGTTAGAATATAAACCCTTCCTAGTTTGGCTTGCACTAGAAGGAATGAGAACAGACCACTGTAGAAATGAACCTGAGAAACATCAAGTAGTGCTTTTGATCAATCCTGTATTCTGAGTGGGAGGGAAGAGGGTATAAACCAGGTCTAGGGTTTGCCCTCAGGCTGTGTTTTCTGTAGGAGAGCATGAGTTGGCACCTGCATGAGGAGGCTAGCATTTTGTTCTCCTTCTGTCTGCAGTTGACCTCACTAAGGAGGAAGAGCTGTTAAAAAGGAGAATGATGAAGTACTGGACCAATTTTGCAAGAAATGGGTGAGAATACTTCCCCTTTTCAACCTTCTTACAGTCAGGTCTAAGGTGTGCCCCATTAGTATGCATGGGTCCTTAATTACATGATAGTCTTCAGCCCAGGGTACACTCAGGCAGATACTTTCTAGCTGTCATTTACTGTTCATCCCAGAGACTGGTTGGGTGACTCACACTATCATGGTACTGTCCTTTAGATTGTACCTCTGAGAGAGAGACACAAACCTAGCCAGCAGCACTTTCTGCACCTGCAGTAAACACTGGTGGTGATGCTTGTATCTATGTCATTGCACCAATCTATCTGTCCCCTGAAGTCTTTGGTCTGCTCATCCACTATACTGACCAAATAAGGGATCAGGCTTTGAATCAAAGAGACCTTCACCCTTCCTTGCTGGCTGGCATATTCACAGGAATCCCAACAGCCAGGGTCTACCCTACTGGCCTATGTTGGACCAAGATGAGCAGTATCTACAGCTGAACACCCAGCCTGCTGTGGGCCGAGCCCTGAAGTCCAGAAGGCTGCAGTTCTGGACCAATACTCTGC